TGCCCGTGACCAGTCACTGAGGGATATTGTCTGGTTTATAGATTTAAGTACCGTCAGTGGAGCTTTAGGATGGAGTTTGCGTTTGTAGCCTAACTGTGCCATAAAGGTGTCCCACACCATCAGAGTTAGTTTGGTGGTTGGGAGGAGGATCTTGTTTGTTTGTCATAGATGTTTCGGTGTCCAAAGGTAGTCCGTCATAGACTGATCTGGGAACTGGGCTCTTTCCGTGTCCACCCATTGTGTGTGGCCCTGGGGAGAGTGTACTGCTATTCCGGCCGCAAGGGCCGAAGCTTTGAAGTAAAGAGGTAAGTTCGCGAGGCCAACACCTCCTGCGGTAGGTGTTTTTTGTAGGAGCGCTAGCGGGATTCTCGCTCGTTTGCCACCCCAAACAAACGTACTGCAGGGACTTAAGAAACTAAGTAGGGACCGGTAGAGGTAGCATACGGTAGACATAGAGGAGCCTTGGAAGGGTCATCATTTTAAATGTGTTAACTTTGCCCAACCACGACAGGTTGGTTGATTTCCATCTCAACAGCTCCGCTCTGCACATCTGAATTAGTGGGGTATAATTGTACTTCACTATGCCTGATGTCGTGGGTGTGATTTTAACTCCTAAGTAGGTAATGTGGGATTCCCTGCAATCAAATTTGGACGAGTCTCGTAATTCCCCAATTATTTTCTGTGGTAACCCAATAGGTAGAGCTTGCATTTTGTCTTGGTTCAGTTTGTAGTGAGACAGGTCCCCAAATCTCTGCAACAAAGCGAGTATGTTGGGTAGTGCCTGGTGTGGGTCTGAGAGTGCTATATAAATGTCAGCTGCGAAGAGGGCAAGGAGATAGTCCCTCCAGTGCATGTGAATACCCTTTATGTGTACATGGTCTCTTATTTTCTGTGCTAATGGCTCGAGGGAAAGAATATAGAGCCATGGGGAGAGTGGGCAGCCCTGTCGGGTCCCGTTAGTGATTGGGAACGTGTTGGAAAGGAAGCCGCTGCATGATACTTTGGCCGCTGGGGTCGTATACAAAGCCATGATCCTCTCTATAAGTTGTTGTGGAAAAACGAATTTGGAGTACCTTTTGCATATATACCCAGTTCAGCCTATCAAAGGCCTTTTCTGCATCTAACGCTAAGAAAAGGCCTGTGCCTCCCCGTCTTTCTAGTCCCGCCAGGATGTTCAATACTTTTCTGGAATTATCTGACCCTTGTCTCCCTTTTACAAAGCCCATTTGGTCATTATGTATGAGTTTGGGCAGGAGGCATGCTAGTCTGTTGCTAAGGAGCTTCGCATACATTTTTGCGTCACAATTGAGCAGGGAGATGGATAGAAGTAACAGATAAGAAAGGCTGTGCCACATAAAATATAAAGAATATTAAAATTAAAAAGTCCAAGTAGTAAAAAGTCCAAATTGTATATCCTTACGAATAGTCTTTTTGAGAGGCTGGTACTGTGGTATGTCTTCGAATATAGTGGTTCCACTTATATAGAAGATAAAAGAGAGAGGGACAACCAATAGTGCAATATGTATAGCTCAGATATTGACGTAATAAAAAAGCAATGGTAGAGAACTCACATTTGCAAGAGCTTATGTCCAGCTCTAGGGTAAAGCGCGTACAGCGGTTTAATCCCCGCTTATAGGATATATGGTGGGTACCTCTCAGTCATTGGTGTCCGGTTCTCAGGAAAGAAGAAACAGCCAATAGTGCTCACTGTATGGTATTGTTAGCATAAATTAAATAAAAACGTACTTACAAGTAGAGAGCAGGCGGACTGCTCTGTGGTATCAGCATAAGTGGGTTGATCCCCACCTTGGATTTCTTGGAATGTAGATAGATTTGGCAGGAGCCAGGTGATGCTATGCTCTCTCAAAAGATTATTCGTAAGTGTGGCGAAACCGACCTCGCCACTGGGCATTGGAGAAGACTGATTGCCAGCCTCCTGCCATGTGACTATGGCCCCTGGGATGTATTGCCCTTTAAAGATATGATTTGGGCATAAGGGATTTGTGTTGTGCTGCTGCTGGCCCTTTAAGAACCATCTGGGGACATACTGTGGAGTTACTGGGTGGCCACCATTTCCTGTATCAGAGGCACATGGTGAGAACAATGGAGGAAGCACATGGTGAGAACAATGGATGGCGGCCATTTTAACTCACAGACACTGTTGGACTTTTCAACACGGTGCCATCTCGCCAGTATTTGGTGCACAGAGACATCGTGCAGTGGTTTTGGACTATACAGCAGGGGACACATTATACGGTGATTGTTTTTCATTTAGCCTGTATATGTTCTGCAGAATCTGCATTAAACTGTATCTTCCAAAGTACTGAACGGATCTGGGTGAATTTTGGATATGTGGTTCACCCAGATCCCCCGGTTCCAATGATATACTTCATGGGGTTATTGCATGTTTTGGGGTCCCTGTGATGTGTTTTATGAAACTGTATTTCTCTGTCTGTGATAATTAGATTACCCATTGTGTAAGGTAATTGTATTACAGGCAGAGGGGGGGATTTTGTGTGGGAGTGTCTGTGTGTATTGTACAGATTGATTGGTTGTTCTGTAAAACCCTGTGGGCAGTACTAAATTTGAGGATTGGGAATAAAAGAGGCTGTATGTGCCAGTACAGTCTGTTCCTGCTTAACCCTCAAAGTGAAGTGTCATCTCATTATTGGGGGAGGATTTATGGTATGCTGTTTCAGTTTGACTGCTAGGAGTGTAAACCTATTCGTATGGTTTTTCCTATTCGGCTGTATACAACATTCACATGCTTGAGAGCATTCATATGCTCCTCTGGTTCGGTGGTTTTGGTGTCGGCTGCAGTGCTTGGAGTCCTCAGGAAGCGCTAGGAGCATCCTTTAACTGAGGTAGCCAGTCGGGGTGCCAGGTGATCCGTTACAGTAAGGATATACAATTTGGACTTTTTACTACTTGGACTTTTTAATTTTAATATTCTTTATATTTTATGTGGCGCAGCCTTTCTTATCTGTTACTTCTATTTATGTTGTTTTAAAGGGTTTTAGAGGGATCCCTTTTAAGGTTGCTGCCTATAAGTTGACCAGCGGTGTCTCATCCATTTTATCATTAATATGAGCAGGGAGATGGGCCTGAAGTTTTTGCACACTGTAGGGGGTTTGTGCAAAAAAAAAAAAGGGAAAGACCCTAAGGGTCAAAGTAGGAAGCCCCTCAGTTAGACTCTATATACATAAAACATAACTTTTAATAATAGTAATAAAATATTCATCAAGAAAAAACACAAACAAAATATGGTTAAAAAAGAGACTAGATAGGTAAATAAAGGAAGTAACAATATCTCCTGATTGGGATATATACCCTAATAAAAAGGTCACTGGAATGAATCTTATCTGTAAGAAAAAAGGGGGATCCCAATGCAGTACTCATGCCTTAGTTATAAATATCAATAGTGGTATCTATAGAAGTAGATAGATACTAACCCTCACAGATATCCACTAAAAATCACTTGAGAAAAACCTACAAGGCTAAAAAAGCCAAATAATGCTGTACATAGGCGGGGGATATTGTGGAAATGAAAAGAAGACTAAAGAACAAAATCTGCTACTTGTTAAATAAACTGTGCTAGTCAGCTGGTATATGATCACTGATGAGATGATACATTGTATCCAATGTATCAAAAGTGAAATCTTGCTCAACTGTAATCTAGGCTCACATTGGGGAACGAGAAATAAAGTATCCCCTAATGTTGAATCAAAAGTAGCAGTTAAATAAATAACAAATGGCAAACCCCTGCCCCCCCCTTATTCCAATCACCCACAACCCTCGGTGGATTAACGAAATGGGAGCAGCTGAAGTGAAAAAATCCTATCTGACTAACTGTCAAAAACTAGAGTGGTCTGAGTACCGACGTCTATCTAGTCTCACTGCCTATTGCCTGACACGTGTTTCGGCGCTACTGAAAGCGCCGTCTTCCGAGGCTAAACAGAATTCTGCATGCAACTGAGGCTATTTTATAGCCTGATAACGCCACTAGATGAAGGGGGTGTGTGCACTCTGTTTGCGCCAAAAACTGAGTCAAAACAGGCCACGCCCCCAAATTGATGTGTCATCATATAATTGGTTGACACCATCTATGTATAAACAAGCAGAATTAACCATGTGAGTGCTGCTCTCTCGGGCTGATAACACAGTCCTTTTAACTAGTGGAACTGATATAGAGATATATGAACGCGCATTTATGCTGTTTTAAATCCCGGTTTTTATGAAAGGATATTCAAAAAATATATTTGAAATTTAAAATAACAGCCGTATAGTGCACGATCAAATTTATTGTCAATCAGTCCTACTAATAGCTTGCAAAATATGTGTATATAGTTTCCAAATAAAACCACTCACTACAACCAAGATAATATATATGTCATACAGCAACATATATTTAAAGTGTACTTTAGAAAGTAAGCCCATACTCCCATCTAAGAATCCAGAGGGGACATGATTAACCCCCATCCAAATATTAAAGGAGCCAAAACATTCCTCAAGGCACTTCTTTTGTCGGGGCAAAATAGCCCAAAAGTGTATGGGTTACAAGGAGCTATAATTAATTCATTGTCACATTGGTTAGAATAATGCTCATATGATTTGTTTTGTCAACCACTGATAAAGCTTAAGCCTCTGTATAGCAAATTAATTGATAAATAATAAATAATGAGTAAAGAAATTATTTACAGTCTCTATCAACATTATGTACATATGTTAAAAATATAATTGTATTAACTAGAATACAAATACTCCTTAGTGATCTAATTTCTCAATAAAGGGGGTAAAGGTAAAACCCTCATTTAATAGTCTAACTGAGGTGCTTCCTACTTTGACCCTTAGGGTCTTTCCCTTTTTTTTTTTGCACAATCATATGTGAGGGTTACCCCCTGTTATGGTTGCCCCTGACACACACCTAGCTGGTTCCCTTAGGGGTTTCTAGCTCTTTTGCTGTAGGGGGTTTCCCTGGTTTAGGGAGTGTAGAGATATGGGCTAGTAACAGTTCTTGTGGCAGGGTTCCCCTCTCCATGCTATGGTTGAAGAGATTAAGTAGATGTGGAGACAGGATAGAGTGGAATGTACGATAGTATGAGTTTGGGAGACCATCTGGGCCTGGGGCCTTGTGAGCTGGTAGGGAGCCGATCAGGGTGGAAATTTCTTCCAAACTGAAAGGTGTTAGGAGGTAGTCAGCATCTTCTTTGCTTAGAGTGGGAAGGTTTAGGTCCGAGAGAAAGGTGTCTATTTCAGCAGTGGTGGGGATCGTCACCTGTGGGTCGTTGTTCAGATTGTATAATTTGCTATAATAGTTAGCAAACTCATTTGCTATATGTTGTGGGTCAAGTATTTTTTTCACTTTGTCACCTTCGAGGTAGGCAATTTTGTTGGCTCTAGCTTTTTTCCGAAGCTGAGAGGCCAGTTTGGCCCCTGCTCTATTGCCAAAGGCAAAGAAACCGCGTTTCATCTGCCTAAACAGTAGTGTTGTTTGAGCTAGTTCAATATCTCTGAGTTGTGCTTGTAATCGTAGGATTGTGGCATGGTGGGAGGGAGTTGGGGACAGTTTGTTGGAATGTGTTCTGTCTGTGAGTTCTCGGAGAATGTCTGTGTATTTTTTGAGACGTATCTTTTTAGCATAGCTAGCATGTTTAATGAAGCTACCCCGAATCACTGCTTTATGCGCCAGCCAAATTTGATCAGGTGAGGAATCGGGTGATTTGTTGTCTGAGAAGTAGTGTTTAAGATCTTGAGTAATCTGTGCTACCACTGTCGGGTCGGTGAGTAAATGGTCATTCAACCTCCAGCTACCTCTACCACTGGTCGTGAATTGTTCTTTGAGGGATAGGGTGATGGGTGCATGATCGGACCATGAGATAAGCCCTATTTGTGAGCTATCTACCCTGGGGAATAGTGTTGAGGGAATTAAAAACCTGTCAATTCTGGAGTAGCAGTTATGTGCTGCCGTATGGCATGTGAAATCCATTTCGCTAGGATGCTGCAACCTCCATGGGTCTACGTAGTTATGTGCTGTGAGGGTGTGTCTAATGCGGGAGACTTGTTTGCCTCTTGTCCTCATGGTTTGAACTAGCAAAGGTTTGTGGTGGGAGGAGTCTAAATGGTTGTCTAACAGAAAATTTGTATCCCCCCCTATTATTACATCTTCAAACTTATACTTTGTGCTTAGTGCAAGGACATATTCCACAAAATCACTGTATTGTTCGTTTAGGCTGTATACATTAATAAACGTATATGGACAGTTGTTGACATAGCATTGTAGCACATCATACCTCCCTTTTTTGTCTCCAATTTTTCAGACCAGTGAGAAAGCCACATCTTTGCTAATTAAGATGGACACCCCCCAAGTCTATGGGGAATGCTGCGGAGTTGAACTTTGGGCGCTAACCCCATTTAAAATGTGATTCTTGAAAAAACGCCACATGGGCAGCATGTGATTTGGCCTCCTTTAATGCCAGATGCCGCTTGTTCGGGGAGTTAAGCCCCTAAGCATTAAGGGAAAAGAGATTAAGTACCATGGATTAGGGGTAGCATACCTGCTTGGCGATGAGCATTAATGGAATGTCCCCATCTTCTAGTAGGGGAGACTGGGCCACTTCTAAGTTGCCTCACAGCATCAACATTGGGCTGGCGGGTGTTCCCGGGGATTCCCTCTTTCTCGTTACCTCTCCGGTACAACTGGGATCTCTCAGGGCCAAGTCTGGATCTAGGGACATACTCGTCAGGCATGCAAGCCTCTGCGATTCTTACCATCTGTCTTACATGGTCATCATACGTTAAACCAAAATGAATGAAAAAAAACATATGAACTATGTACAAAAAAACGTTGGTCGAATTAAATCGACTAGGGGATGGAAAGCAATTAATTATGCGGCCCATCTCTTCTGCCACTCTGGAGATGATTGTCCCACAACGTACGTAGTGGGTCTAGGGATAGATTATGTAACCATTCGAGCATTTGCGTCCGTTATCGGTGTCTAATGCTTAAATGACCGGAATTCTGTTACACGAAAAGAAAAGAAAGTAACGACATAATACATTGTCTGCAACAAACAACAGCTTAACTCACAGTAACATGCTATATGTGCTCTGTGAGCTTGCACATTACCCATCAGATGAGGTTCAGGGAGTCTTTTGTGGGCGAATGTGAACCACCTTTGACCAGTCTCTGTTGAGCTTGCCTGGAGATGCCCTTTGATGGGGCTTTGGGTAGGTGAATGTCCTATTTCTTCAATAGTGAAGCACCTTCTTCCGGGTAGAGAATGGTGGAGTCTGTTCCGTTCCTTTTAACCAGGAGCTTGGTCGGAAATCCCCATTTGTATGGAATTTTTTCTTCTCGTAGTGCCGCCGTGATTGGGGCGAAGGCCTTCCTTTTAAGCATGGTGGTGGCTGACAGGTCGATGAACAGATTGATTTGTTCAGATCTCCCAGGAGGAGGTGGGTGGTTCCGTGAGGCTTGCATGATCCTGTCTTTGGCGGGAAAGTAGTGCACTTAAGTAATGACATCTCTAGGTGTTTGCGGCCCCAGGTGTTTTGGTCTGGGTAGTCTGTGCGTGCGATCTAATAACAGGTCGTTATCTGAAAGTTCTGGCACATAGGCTTTGAAAATTTCTTGTACATACTACTGCAGCTCCATGGGTGCCACTGATTCAGGTATCCCCCTCAGCCTTATATTATTCCATCTATCTCTGTCCTCGTGGTTGGCTACTTTGTCTTCTAATAACTTGATTTTGTGTTCCAGTGCAGAGTAGGCTTCAGCAAGATTGTTTTGGACATCTACTATTTCGTCTGCTCTCCTTTCTCCCACTTGTTGTATATCTGACCGTATTTCAGCTGCTACCTGCAGCAGGTCAGTGTGGAAAGTAGCTTTAAGGTCAGTTAGTAAGGCTTTGAGTGTACCATTAGTGACTGGATGAGTGGGGTCTGACATGCTGTGGACGATGTCACTTACGTCTGAGAAGGAGGCTGGGGAGCTCGGGCCGTCTGTGCCATTTTGACCTTCTCTATCCTGTGAGTGAGCTGATTTTGCTTGCAGCTGAAGCGTTCGCTACTTCATTTTTTTGCAGGTTTTTGCTGCCATGCGTTTCTTCAGGTTATGAGCCGGCTTTTTGCTGTGTAGCACGCTGGGAACACCGCGGATCGGAGGAGCTCCTCTCTCACGCGTCCGTTCTCGTTCGCCACTGGGTCTTTAATTTTAAGCATTCTTACCTTTAAAAAAACTAAGTTCGGTACAATTCAAGAATAGCAAAGAACTGAGTTAAAATATAAAACTGTATTTTACAGAGCTTTCAACTTTTTAGTTAGCAGATGGCACTGTGTATTTAGTGACATCAGATTTTCAGATTTTCTTTCTGCATATACAATGTGACTTCAGTTTTACAAAAAAAATTAAAACCATGGAAACATGTTATAACGATGTATGAAATACCTAGCCAGAACAAACAGTTGATAGCTTACCCTGTGATAAAGTAGCCACCATGTATTTTAGGCAGCAAGTGAACAGTTAGTTCTTGAATTTCATATCTTGGAAGAAGTAAAAATTGGTTATCGAACAGATCTAAATGATTTTGAGGGCCAAACAGGGATGCCTCGATGACTGGATCAGATCATTTCCAACTGCAAATCTTGTGGGGTGTTCCCAGTATGCAGTGGATAGTAGCTAACAAAAGTGGTGCAAGAAAGGACAAATAGTGAACTGGCACCAGAATCATGGGTGCCCAAGGCTCACTGATGTACTTGGAGAACGAAGGTGAGCCCGTGTGGTCTGATCACACAGAAGAACTACTGTAGATTAAATTGCTAAAAAACTTAATGCTGGCCATGATAGAAAGGTGTCAGAACACAGTGCATTGCAGTTTGCTGCGTAGCCGCAGATCAGTTAGAGTTCCCATTGTGACCCCTGTCCACCATCAAAAGCTCATTCAAGATGGACGTGAGCATCAAAACTGCACCATCAAACAATAGAATACCGTCACTCCCCACACATGCTTATTCATTATACATTGCTACCCACAAACTCATCCAGGTGCTGTCACTCACCCCCAGTCTTGTCACATCCATCACCCCTCAGGTACATACGCAGGTACACAATACCAGAGACACAGACACTCTCAGTTAAAATGCACAGGCACATACACTCAAGCACATGTATAAGTACGTAATGCTAGATACAGAAAGTCCCCCCACATAAAACACTCAGCCACTTTACACACCACCTGCAGAAATAGAGCTCTATGAGGGGGGCTCTGATCTGGCAACCTTAACAAAGCTCAGCATCAGACACTTACATCAACCCTGCAGTGCTGAATCAGAAGCACAATTTCTGCACGAGCACATTACAAAATTACAGCATTGCAGTGATTGAAGACTTTGCATTTAATTGAATTTAGTTTTGTATTAACTATCAGAAATCAGGCCTGATGTCCTCTCCCGATTCTTTGTAGCTCCTAAGCACTTGCCTTAAAGGACCACTATAGTGCAGGAAAACATACCACCCTCAGGGTCCCACTCCCGCCGGGCTGGATGGCAAGGAAAGGGGTTAAACTTACCTTTTTTCCAGCGTCGTGCGGGGAGCTCTCCTCCTCCTCCCCGCCTCTGATCCTCCTCTTCGGCTGCCCGTGCATTCAGCCTGTATCATAGGAAAGCATTCATAATGCTTTCCTATGGACGCTGGCGTCTTCTCACTGTGATTTTCACAGTGAGAAGCACGCAAACGCCTCTAGCAGCTGTCAATGGAGCTTTGGAGGCTGGATTAACCCATTTATACACATAGTTTCTCTGAAACTGCTATGTTTATAAAAAAAAGGGTTAACCCTAGAGAGACCTGGCACCCAGACCACTTCATTAAGCTGAAGTGGTCTGGGTGCCTAGAGTGGTCCTTTAACTTGTTGACTGGATAAAGCACCAAGAGCTGCACATTGCACCTGACAAAAAGCTATCGGCTACTCAAAGAAAAGCTATCGGTGAATGTTTCTACCATTTGTTTCTGCATCCAGCCTATCGCAAACTAAATGGTCATGTCATCTTTAGGGGTCTTTCCAATATATTCAAAGACCCTAAAACCTGGCAGAACTACACTTTGAGAGGTGGGTCATATATTTATTATGACAACAGGACACCCTATATGTCATCATTCAAACAGAAAGGAAAGGTTTGTTGCAGGACTTCACATTAAATGTATTTGGTGAAAATATGTATGATATCATGTGTAGGCTGACGC